ATATTTATGGTAACTGTGTCAGTTAATTAGCTCAAAGATGTTGTAATCCCTTTGTTAAAGATATTACAATAGATTTATTGTATTATATTTACTTTGGCAAAAGTCTTTCAGCTCGAGATTCAAACCGCGAACTTAATACGTGTTGATCTTATCTCCTTCCTGTATCCAATAATGTTTTAATCATATTGCATAACAGAAACAGGCAACATCGGACATTGAACTCGTCAATCAGCTTCTTTTTCTGGTGGTTTTGCTGCCGCAACTATGATAAGAGCGCAAAAAATCCTTTCCGATTCATATAGCTTTCCTATTCAGTCTTTGGACCAAATTAAGATAAATTTATTGTGAATGTATAGACGTGCGATTCAACCGGAGCATTTTTGTGAGTTAAATTTGAAAATTTTGGTTCCTTTTTTTTATAAGCACGTTTGTGTATTTATTCAGCCTAGTGGAGTAGAAAAATCATAGCAACGTCATATTTCGTATGAATTTTAACTGTGCTTTAACACCTTCAAATTGAAATAATAGGACGCCTTTGGCAAACGGAGCAAGAATTAGAGGTACGACTCCGAAAGCCGACAGAAAGAAAACGATATAACGCCTGATAAAAATAAATTGAAAAAAAAAAGCCCGAATTTTTTTTAAATGTATATACCTGTCAGATATTATCAGATTTCAACATCTTATTTTGTATTCGGAAAAGTATAATAATAGTTAGAAAGCTGAAGGTTTTCAATCATTGTTTCCTCCTAAATGATGACTTTGATCAAGCACGTACATTAGCGGAATCAACGAAGAATATACAATCATCGTAATGACATATTTGGCTTGCCAAGTGATATTTTATTTATCTGACATGAGATCGGGAAAACCACAATTTGCTTTCCTATGCCCTCTTGTACAAGTGTTAAATTTTAATTAGCCTTGTGTAAATGACAAATCACCAGCTTGTGACAGTACATATTGCATCCATAAGCTGAGTTTATTTTGCTTTATTCTTGTGGGTGAAGGTGTCTGCCAGGTTTTGCCATATTTCTAACAAACCGCTCGGGTAAAAGCAGTGAGTAGACCTTCCAGTTATACTTTTTCTCCAAGAATATCGCTTTCTAGTTTTTTTCCGAATATGTATGTTTAAGAAATAGTAACGTGATAAGCTATTCTGATGTCGAAAATATGTTCTTTGTGGCGTATATGTTTCGCGGTAATTTTACCAAGTTAAAATGCGCTTTAACCTATACTTTTCTTGCATCCTTTTGAAAATTTTGTTTTGTCTTAATAGCCCTAAGTAAATCACTGTTTTACGCATTCGTGATTATTTTGGTTATTCTATTGGCCTATGAATTTTAAACACATTTCTTGTGAGATATCCTGTTGTCTGACGAGCAAATATTGACAAATATGCCTCGCTATATAGTGGCTGCTGTCGGGCGGCCTCATAATACTGTTAGCATGACAAATTACGACTTATCATTTAGGAGGAAACGGAATTATTATCAAGCGTTTCTTTTAAGATGACTTTGCAAATGAATCATATAATGATTGGAAATGTTATTACCACGAAAACTGTTAATCCAAAGTTCATCTGCATGGTCTTGCTGATGTCGTATTTCACTTAAAAGTTCGTGCATTTTTCTGTGGCAACCAGATTAAGAAAAAAATACTTAATGCTTTTCGTTTATCAGTCTAACCACATCAAAAAAACCACGATGTGAAGACATATTTTTTACTTTCGGCGTAAGTTTGATGACAGGAACCTTAAAGTGAGCCATCTTTAGACGTAAATTCAATATCCTGGTTTTTAACAATTTTAGTCTTTTACGAAGGAAGAACCTATTACTATAATCCTAAAAATGACTGAAGCGCACTTATGATAGTCTTCAGATTCATATGTATCTACACAATTCTTTGTTTCCTTGTGAACGCGCTTTGATATTGACATTGTTGCATGGAAGGGTAAATTTATAATGCTGCATGAACCTGTTTTGCTGACTCCACTAAAAGCCAGTTTTGACTTGAAGAGAAGTAAGAGCCTGAAATCTTTACTGATTTGTGTAAAAATATTCTTTGGACTGATTAACGTAACAGTCAGGACATTTATCACAGACCAGGTTTGACGTTTCCTCGCAGTCCGTATTATTAGCTAATTTGGTGTGATAATTTGATACGACGATTCGACTCACGAAAAAAAAGGACCATGACTTGGTGGGACGGATGGCATGTGAAAATAAAAACCTCCGTGTGGAGCAATTCTTCTTTCTCCCTTTTTTAAATCTGCGTTTTTTAAACCTCTAGAATATTTGAGATCTTGTTTTTAGGTTTTTTTAAGATAAGGCGAGGAACCAACCTTGCTCGTTGGTCCACATCACATGACCCTTAATTAGGCTCCAAGGTATCCCAATTATACTTATGTTGAAGAAAACTATTGAGATGTCTACTCTTGGGAAGACAAATTAATGCTCCCAATCATTTAGTGTGGTTTGTATGTTCCAGGGTATGACACGCCGATTATTAGGTTTTACCGCTCACCATGAAATGACTGTAACTCTGACTGTGAAAGGATGATTTTTTTATTCGTTTTCATTTCAAGTTTCTGTGGTGTTCAGTTGGCTTTTACCTTAAGAAAATTTGTAATTTGTTCGAATGAAGTCTCACTACTAACAAAGATCGCCTCCCTATTTCAATGGTCCACTGACTGAAGTTTGGTGAAAGGAAAGGAGTTGTTGTATGTAAACCAAAAATATCAAATTTTAATGAACGCTCGTTTATAATCGAGTATACTTTAGAGCGCCACAGTAGACATATAGCAAAGTAGTGAGTGTAAATTCATGCACTCAGAACGGCACTTTGTGAAACTAAATGATGAGTGTCATTATCTGCTCCATTGCTTCTCTGTTTATTGCTTAACATTAGGATTGTTAGAGACTAAGACCCAATTTAGCAAATATTTAGCCACGCAGCGAGTGCACTTGCTTCGTAGCTTCTTAAAATAACTTTGGACAAAAATAAGACTACAGCGAAGAAGAATTTGAAACAAAAAAGAAAAAAGAAAGAAGAAGACAATCACTGAAGGCAGAACTTATTTTAGGCGGGAAAGAATAGAGCGGTCCTATTTTGTTTGGGAATTAGTGTTGAATGTCACCATTGAACTGATCGGTTGTCGTGAGCCGGTCCCGACAAAAATTTGTGTTCCCGCAGCAGCAAATGTCACTATAGGTCCGATGCTGATTCACTTGTAAATATCACCGAGCTTATGTTTGTCCCTCAGCTCAGGCTTGCTTTGCACGTGTAAGCTTAATTTTCATGAAAAGAAAATACCTCAGGACTTAACTGAAATGCCTGCTCAATGCATGGCTTAGTTAGTTTTGCTTGTTTTGGTGTTTCTTTCTCAGGCGAAACATAGAAACATTGTTTTGGTGACCTTATTTTACATTTAGGTGGGCGGTTTAAAAGTTGTCACACGTACCCGTACAAATATATTATTTAGCCACGAAAAATTAAATATCTAGATATAGAGTATGGTGCCGACCGCCCCTGTCGACTATAAATACTATCAACATTTATGTTTGGCACTTAAAGTTTTTTGAGGGAATCGAGCACAAATTCCTGAGCCGTGGTATTGCAAATAGGTACCTTTTTAGACTTTTTAACCAACGCTTAAAACTAGTATTTAATATTGTGTTTTATCATATGATCCACACCGCCTGGGTCACGCAATCCTATAAAATACTGAAAGCTGACGCACGCAGGGCCGAACAAGTTGACGTGAGCCGATCCGGGAAAAGCCGTCCGAAAACTCACACACACGGATCTCTGTTGGTTGTGATCTCCTAGAACGTGAATTTGAATTGTGGACTTAAACCTGCAATGTAACGGAAATGAGAAGATAAGGCGCGTTTTTCAGTAAATTGTGATTTTCTTGTTCTGACTCGAAAAAAATAAAGGAAAAAGTTTTTATTGTAGAATCTCCAATGCGCTCCGTTTTTTTTAAGTGGGCAGTCGCGGTCTATTTGGTTTCAAACATAATATCATACAGTTTAAAGACTTAGTGGTCACACGATAAAATACTTATTGACAGAGTTTGATTGGACCACACAGGAAAATATGGACCGAATGAGGAAAGGTATGTGCGTCATGACCCTGAACAAAATATTCAACCGTATGGCCCTTCTACTCATTCAATAAGTACATATTGAGGCTGAGATAACAATGGGAATCGGCTGTTTAAAATCTCGCCAACATTAAACCGCAAAATTTGTCTTAACGTGTGGGACTAAAAAAGTTTGTGGTGGCATGAGAGATGATTTAAGAAGAAATTGCTTTTAAAACAATCTTCTCAAAGAGGACAGCAGTTTTTTGAAACTCGATTAGTTAGTAGATACATATGTAACGTGACTTTGAATTAGTAGTTTGTCCTTGAATGTCGATAAACAGGGAAAATAGCAGGTCGATGTTCCGTAAAAATGGTCGAGAAGTTACGGTTTCCACAGTCAGTTCGGAGGAGTATTAAACAAACACCTTGATTTGTTCGAGAGTAGCTATTATCGCCGCTCTCACCCCTTTCACAGTGTTTTAAGGTCCGGGAATGCCAAATTATGTTCATGACTTTACCCATCAGTTTACTGAATATTTTATTGGGGGTGGTGCGATAGGTTTAAAATCGCATGTGAACTGTGAACTGACCTGACGAGGACAATCTCTTCTTTAAGCCTCTTAAAATCAGTTGAAAAGTCACTGAGCTGATCGCGTTAGATACAAATGAAAACCAAATAACGTGAGAGTCACATTCTTTGGTCATTTTTGTTCACGAAAACATCGTAAAGTAATGGCATGTTTACGAGAAAGGCCATTAATAATTAAACACGCGTAGGAAGAAATCCCTTCAGATTTTATCTGTTTTCTGTTTGCAAAAAGAACCACGGAATCACGAGAGGCTTTTCCAGTTATAAACTCTCTGAGTATCCCTGAAAAGCATATCATTCACACTTTTATCTGAAGTGGCTTTAATAACACTACACAATAACTGCTGTATATTTTCCAGGTTTGTGTCGTTTTGTTGTGGACGATACTTGTAAAAAGAGACAACATGGATGCCAATTCCAGCGACGGCAGTATTATTGTTAACATCGCAAAGCGGAAACTTGGCGGAGTGGGTTTTGTGACGAGTAAGCGAAGCGAAAGTCCTTACCTCGTTGTGTCGCACGTCGTTAAGGGAGGAGTAGCTCACGAGACGGGTTTGATACAAACTGGGGACGTAATTCTTGAAGTGGATGGGAAGTCTGTGGAGAGCATGCCATACCATAAGGCGTTAGAGATTATCGACAAAGTTCCCACCGGCGAGGTGATTGCGATGAAACTACGTGCCAAGGACGGGTTTCAAGCGTACCTAGAAACGGCCTTCGACGACAAAGGTTCTGTAAAGACGGTGCGAAAAAACAGGCCACGAACGCCAAGTACTCCAAAAGCTAACAAGGACTTGAACGGAGAGGTAAATGGTGAATCACATATGGATCAAGCACAAACCACCCAAGTAGGGCCAGTTTCTACAAGTGAAGACGCAGGAAAAAAGCATCATGTTGAGAACGAAGATCCTGAAGCGCCACCGTCTCAAACTATGGCCAACGGACATCCAGAAAACGAAAGTGAAATACTCAGCGAGTCACTCCAATCCAAAGGTTGCCCGGTCACCAACTTTTTGTCAAAACCACAAAATCCGAAATATGTCAGGTTACAGAATCTCCTCGATGGCAAGTACACGACGGACACTCTACATCAAAAGGCCATGATTGTAAGTTGCCACTTTTGTCCCTTAAACGTGTCTAATGGTAGTTGTCCTGATTGCGTATTGGTAAGCAAACAGTTTCAAAAGAGCTTAATGATTATCCACTTAGCCATCGCCACCCACTTCTAACTCAAAAATTATGACCTGTCCTTGAATTGTTGTAAACATTTTCAGTACGCTGTTTTGATAAAAATTTTTGATAAAAAAAGTGGTGGACAGTAAAATTAGCAAACAGGAGCTCCTATCAGAAAATATATCTTCGTGAATTCCGAGAAATTCTCTTCCCCTTCCACCCGAAAAACATCATTTAATGATCAATATTGCTAGCAAATATTTTTCCGGCTTTTCCAAATCAATAGCAAAAATAACGTAGTCAGTAGTGTTGAGTGAACACTATCGTCAATAAATATTTTCAACAGAATTCTCAAGGCACGGGTTCGAATCCCGTCGAAGCCTGAATTGTTCCAGGCTTCTTATTTGCAATTCTTTAAATTGTAATCCACCTGTGAGGTGGATTGCTTCACTTGATTTTCATCCGCAGGTCGAATGAAATTTATTTCATCAAAAATTATTATTTTCAAGTTACGTGGATGATCCGTCGCGCTCTAAAAATGATTCATTCAGCTATTTTGCTTTTTCTTCTTCCATTTATTTAACCCTTTCGTTAGAAGTACGAGGGCTTTGATACTTTAAAGTTACTGTGTATGAGGTCGTAAATGAATAGAGCCTGAAATTTGTAAAAACTGTTTGTGGACCGACCGTTATAAACAACAGCATCTTTGTTTTTCCAGCCTATAAACTGCACTGCAGGTCGTTGCTTGGGGTCTTTGATGCAGCCATACGGGGGAGAAGCTGCTCCTAAGAGGCTTTATGGTGTACCGCGGCAACCAGAGGAGGTGATAGTTCAGGCTAAGGATTTCCTCCAGCAGTATTACGGAGCCATGAAACTGTGAGTTTTAGAAAAAAGCTCGAGTATACAATGGTACATTGGCGGAAACGGAAAAAAATTGAGATTTAAATCACTCTTCTAAAATGAAATATCAATACCTAAGCCTCAGTTTTAATGAGCATTGTTGAAAGAGAAATAAGATGAAAATAACACGATACAATATTAAGGAAATGATATTAGGTGGAAAAAATATCTTTTCTTTGTGTCGTTGTGTCGCAAGTGTAAATCAGAACTCATATGAAGTACTCAAATAGTGACAGACGTCTTTACTAGTGCAGTATTGGCATTTGAAGACTTGGTACTGACTCTTCTGGTATGGAAAAGCGTTATGAGAACTAAAGTTTCGTTGGGTTGAATCTGACTGTAAAGTAGTGGTGAAGGATATAGAATTATTAACAGTAAAATTGTCTGCAGAGCTACAAGCTAGGGTTAGTAAAGAAAATGCGCTAACTTTGTTTTAACTTGATCATGGTTTGAACAGCCCTTCCTTGGAAGGTTTCTGATAAAACAAGCTATCAGGAAATTGTCCATCAGTCTTAGCAAAATTTCAAATATTGTAAATGAGTACCCGATTCCTTAATCGAGATAAGTTCCACTGGCTGATTTGTCGTTCCTTTTCTTCAGTGAGAATAGTTCGGCCCACAAGCTGCGTTTAGGGGAAGTAATGAAGGAGATTGAAAAGACTGGGACCTATGAACTCACAGAAAAGGAGCTCATCTTTGGATGTAGAATGGCTTGGAGAAATGCCCCTCGATGTATAGGACGAATTCAGTGGAACAAACTTCAAGTGAGTCACTCTGTCTCTACAAGCAGTGTTAGGAGGAAAGCAAATTAATGACGAGCTTGAAAATCAAGGCTAAATCGTTAAGAAATTCTACAGCGTCACCTTGCTCCTTTAATCCTTTAACTTCCAGAAGTGATTAACGTGTAACTTCTCCCTGTAATATCCATGCATTATCCAGTTCCAATTTTACTTTGAAACTATCAGTGTTTAAGTGCTGGAAAATTTGAATTGATTCTTGCGAAAATTCAGACATCCCGTCTTTCTTGCTTATTATGGGAACAATGCATTCCCCCATACCTCTAACGTAAATTTCTGTCCCATTTCAAGCTTTTGCATCACTGAGCTACTGAGGCCATTGATTCGTACTTATGTCATTTCATTTGTTTTAGGTATTCGACGCTCGACATGTGAACACACCCTCCGAAATGTTCGAGGCGATTTGTAAGCACATAAAGTACGGAACGAACAAGGGAAATATCAGGTGATTATGAAATATTTACGTTGTGATTATGTACTATTTTTAGTTCTGCAAGCGTTGTCAATATTATAATTTTCGGTAAAAATATTGAGGAATATATAGGTACATAACCTGTCTTTCGCCTATTCACCTATATCCAGAGCGTACACAACCGCACGCATAAGCTTGCCACCAGACCGTCATATTATTATTAATTAAAGAGAGCGAGTTATTTTGCGCCCTACCTGCAGAGCAGGGGAACTGACTTGCTTGCCAGTTCGAGTCAACAAGCGGTGATCTGTGGTTTCTCCTTTCTCTTAGACAGAAATTAATAAATCTATAGATGTTGATCTTTATCCAGCCTCCATTATCATGAACTATTTCTAATTTTACCGCAGCTCGTTCCTGCAACGAAAAGCGTGGCAGTAAGCGCGCTGGAATCCAGGGCCCGGTTGTTCGAAGGTTGGATAACGCCACTGGATAAATCTCTATCCGTTAGATAGCGCAGCACGTTTTGTCGACACTTATCCGTTTGATAGCGATTTATCCACTGGATAGCGCCATTCCCCCTTTGAACAGCAGGCCTGGATCGAGAAACCTAGGCCAGTTTCGAGTCCTTGCGGAGTCATTGTATTGTCCTTCTTTTGGTTGTGCTTCTCTCCACCCGGGAATATAGATGGGTACCTGTAAAACTGATAAGGAAATTTGAAATATTTATTTTGGAAGACCAATCGGTAACATTAACAAATAATTTTAAATTTTCTTTTTTTTCCCCTTGTATCTCTTGATCTAAGGTCCACGATAACTGTATTTCCTCAAAGGAAGACTGCTTTTAAAGACTTCCGCGTGTGGAATACACAGCTGATTCGTTATGCTGGATATAAAAAACCGGACGGTTCGTGCATCGGAGATCCTTCAAACATTGAGTTCACTGAGGTAAAAAAGGATTTGAATCAGCCTTGCATTTATTGCCCGCCTTCGAATGCGTCTGGCTCCGAAAACTTGAGTCAGTTCCAGGAAATGCAGAACTAGTTTGGGTTTTGCTCTTTCGAGCAAAGTTGAGTCTTGCGTTTTCTGTGCTTGTCGGTTTACGTTGGCGGTTATAGCTACTTGTGTTTTGTTTTTAAGATAATATATTTTTTTAATAGATTTGTCAGTCTCTTGGTTGGGAAGGAAAGGGAGGTCCTTTTGATGTTTTGCCTTTGATTCTTCAAGCCAACGGTGGAGAACCCGAAATGTTCGAGATTCCGCCTGAAATCGTACTTGAAGTAGAAATAAAGCACCCAAAGTAAGTCTTGAGACATGATCGAGTATAATGGCAGATATTTCTCATAAATGCTATTTCTCTATATTACAAGGGAGGCAGGAAGATTTTCTATCTCTAAGGAATAAACTTCCAATGTCACGATAAATTGCCAAGGAATCTTACATTTCTTACTACTTAGGTAATAAACGATGTATTTTTCTTGATACTGGTAAACGACACGACATTTTTTTAACAATCGAGGAGACTTGTTAAGGAATATTAGACAAAATTTGTCAGTATACACGACAAGACACTTGCAGCGGAAAACTCTGAAGGGGTTGAGGGAAATTCTTTTCCTACATGATTTACTCGACGTATATTTTTCTTCAAAGTTATTTGGCGAGCCATTTTTTTTTCTGGTTAAGAATACTCGCCTAAGGAAACTTGCCAAAATAGAAACGGCGTTCCGAAGCAAACTACAGTTCTGTCTTGATTTTTTAGTGTCTTCATTCGCTGTCATCCTCAGTGGTCCAAAAACTTAAAATAAATTTTGTTTTCTGTCTGACCCAGACGTGATCAATTTGAAACTTCTCCCAACAATATCATTGTCTGTGTTTAGGTATCCGTGGTTTGAAGAGCTGGGATTGAAATGGTATGCATTGCCCGCAGTCTCTTGTCTTTGCCTTGATGTCGGAGGAGTAGAAATACCTGCATGTCCCTTTAATGGCTGGTAAGCATCGCAAAATACTAGAACGGTAATTCTAAAGCAAACACAAAAAAAGGAACGAAAAAGAAACTGGGGCTTAAATTTGTAATGAAAAAAAAGAAACGGTTTTACGTTGACCGGAATGTAAATATTGCTGTACAGTTTTTTTTGTCTGATCGCTGTCTGTATCTATTCGTAGGTATATGGTTACAGAGATTGGAGCGAGGGATTTCGGTGATACAAACCGATACAATATGCTTGAGGTAGGTTACCAACGATTTTTTATAATTATTCATAATTATAAGGACACACCAAAGATTTCGTACATATAGCACCTGTGATACAAATTGAATTTTCCTACCAAAAGTTGTATTTCTATTCTGTTCTTAACACACATCAAAGAGTTTTTCCAATCGTGATTTTGTCTTTTCTTGCTCTCTTCCAAAGCCCGTAGCGCAGCGTATGGGTCTGGACACCAAGAGTAATGCTTCTCTCTGGAAGGATCTCGCAATGGTGGAAATCAATGTGGCAGTAATGCACAGCTTTCAGGTTTGTCTGGACGATAGCTCTTTCCACTTTAGCCGGTTACCACTCAAGTAGCGATAAGTGTTACCATTAGAAAATCATACGAATTTGAATACATTTTGATTTGAGGAATGTCCATGTCTGCAGTATTTCAGAGGATCTAAAATTACACAGCGTAACAGATGCGTGAGCTGTTCGTAGTATAAATGTTCTCGTCAGATGAAGTTAAACGAGAGTTTTTTTACCATAATTTCGTCATTTCTTTTCTAGGAAGCAGGAGTTACAATGACTGATCACCACAGCGCTTCCGAATCTTTCCTAAAGCACCTTGAGAATGAGGTTCGTGGTCAGTTTATTTGTAAACTTAAAGGTTAATAAATATTTATTACACCTAGGTTCCCCATAGTTAGGAACACTTGGGGGCTAAGAAAACGACTCAAGATATCGAGGGCCAGAGTTACCCTGGGTAAATTTATACTTTAACGATTTCAAACTGGGGGAGGGGGGCACTGGCCTCATACTAGTTGAAAGAATTCCTAGTCTTTATTCATTACTATAAATTACAAATTCTCCCAGACAGAGAGGGGGTAACATTTATCACAGGATCATCCCACCCCCCGTTAGCTTTAGGGCTCTGTCACAAGTTAAAGTTTGAGAGTCAATTGTAACAAAATAATGTAGATGTCTTTGACTTGACTTTAAGATAATACTAGGGACCTTTAGCAAACCACGACGGCGACGGAAACGAGGACGTGGCAAAACAAAAGATCTAATGAGCAGAACAATAGCTCAGTACGTGTCTTTTAAAACTGTGTACATTTCTTAGCCATCCTCTGCAAAATAGCAACGTCAAACCTTCAAAATTTGCGTGGTCCGAGAAGAGCCCGGACAGTAAATTATTTGTTTCCATTTGGAACTCAACGCCGCTCTCATACGTGATGCTGAGGTTAACTTGCGGCGTCATAAGAGATGGTAAACACATCCAGTCATTCGCAAAATTACAACTGAACATGTATATTCATTTTCAAATCGACGTCTTCCTTTGCGTTGCCGTCCTAACTGCTAAAGGTCCCTTCTATCGGACCAAAATAGCATCTTGAATTCGTAGATAACATAACATTTTACTTAAACTGACACAGGTTAAACTCCGCGGAGGCTGCCCAGGAGACTGGGTGTGGATTGTACCTCCCATGTCAGGCAGTGCTACGCAAGTGTTTCATCAGGTTTGTTCATTCGAGAGTAACTGTTTGGCCCGTCAGGAGAGCTTAGAAGTGATATCTTTACTTTAGGATGCAAAGTGATCCAGACTGTTGGCCAAAACATGAGTTGGGTCTTATAACCTGAAATTGAACCCCTCTCCCCCCCTTCCCAAAAAACTGCAACCTTGATAAGAATTTAGTACAGTTTTCTTGTACGCAATGCCTTCATAGGCTTTGAAGATTTGCATCCCGAATTTCATTCCACGGTATCCCATAAGTAATATTGACGTTAATTGACGTTCTCTTCGTCCACAGGAAATGTTAAACTACACTTTAAAACCAAGCTACGAATACCAGGTAAATCTCATTACGAAATTCCTTTTGCGCACTTCGATACTATCGATGTAAAGTGTACAGTTTGGATTGAAACAGGTTGATCAGTCTGGCGTCCGCACAGTCAGAAGTTTTAAAAGTTTGAGTGTATTTTCTCTAACTTTTCTTAATTTTTAAATGTTTCCCCGTCCCATGATGATTTCAAAGAAACTCTCATGAGATAGATAAAGAAGCGTCTCAACATTGATCATAATTATTGTTGTATAATTCTAGGACGATCCTTGGAAACATTATTCGATAAAGAAAGACACGTCTAGCGATTCTCCACGGAAGAAAGCTTCCTTTAAAGAAGTAGCGAAGTAAGTTAAACGTATTCGTCGGCGAAGGCGAGTAAAACGTACACTGTTCTTTTCTTGAAATAAGAGCTAAAGAAATGTTTAAGGGTCCTTTCTTGCGGAAGGTCATTGCTGCTCTCAGTTAATGTCTGTGAAAAAGTCCTTATGAAGCTTCTTTTGTGTGGTTAATGAACATGTACTGTGAAACAGCGTGTGATGTTGAAGTCGTACTTCATGTCACAAAGGGCACAATAAAGAGAGTCCTTTGCTAAAAAAAGGAGAGAAGGAGGAAGAGGAAGTAGGTAAAGCTGTTACTTGAGCCTCTGTTCCACTGAGAACAATCTAAGCGAAGAGCACTGATTCTCTAGAAAAAGGTGATTTCTTTTGTCAGACTCAGACTAATTACATGGCGGTAAGAGTACTCATCGCTGTAATTGCATTTTCGCAAGAGATCTATTATTATGCCTCTTCATCTTTCAACTTCGAGAACCGTTGGTGTTGTTCCGGAACAATTAATCAGCATTCTATTTTGACATGGGCTGGTCAAGATCTATTCCAGATAATTTATGCATTTCAGTGTCATCCTTCGGTGGAAAGGAAGGTTGAAAAGCTTGAAATTGCCCAGACAGTTATGTTTTTAGCAATCAAATCTATGCTTATTTCCTTTGTAGGGCTGTTAAATTTTCCGCTAAATTATTTAGCAAAGCTTTGGCTAAAAGACAGAAGGCTGTTATCCTCTATGCCACAGAAACAGGAAAATCAGAGCGTTATGCCAAGATGCTTGGAGAACTCTTTTCTCATGCGTTTGATCCGAAGGTTAGGAATGTTTGATTATGAAATTATGTTACAGTGGTCCATGTATTAACCCCTTGACTCTTCAGATCAGTGACCAGCGTATTATTTCTCCTTACATTATCACCCCTTGAATCAATCATGAAGGTCACGAGAATATAGGAAATTATCACCGACTAAATAAGATCTTGATTGTTGATCAAATTCTCCCTGTCAGCTCCTCAAGAAATGTACACGGAAAAGTGTTGAGAATATTCATACTGATGTTAGGGAATAAAGGTTAAGGGAAACCGACGAAGAATTTGAGACTTGAGTCTCTTTCAAGGCCTTCATGTTGTTTTGCTTGACGAGGTAGAGGTTTAATCGTATTTGTGAATTGAATTTGAATTGTCGTGACGAAGGAGCGCTTTTTGAGAAATAGTTCTTATTACCGTTTTACTGTATGTATTTTACAGGTTGTTTGTATGCAGGACTATGCAAATCCTGAGATGGAAAACGAACAGCTTGTCCTTATTGTAACTAGCACGTTTGGAAACGGAGACCCTCCTGAGAACGGAGAGGTGAGCCGAAATTTATGTGCTACTCTTTAACACTTTGCAAACATTATAGACATAGGGGTGCTGATGAATCCCAGTCCTATAAGCAGTGACGAATAGAATAGTGTCCATTAGTATTCCCTCCCCCATTGCCATCTTTAACGAGTTGAGATCTAAGTGAGGCCTATTCATCCTATTTTACCACTTACAGGGACACCATGACCCTCTCAACCGACTCTTAAAATTTCGGTCTATATTTAGGCGGCATACAAACCTTTAGACCACTGTATCAACCATTAGCCATTGCCAAATGAAACGGATTTTTGCTGTAATTTGCATCCATGATTTTCTCCTCAGGAATTCGCTCGTTACTTGTACGAACTCCGCCACCCACCAGATGGGTAAGTCAAATCTTATTAGGTTGGAAGCCCATTCAATTTGTTCATTTGTTTAATCCCTACTCAACAATTGTATTTCGTCCCTAGAAAACTTTCACACCGAGCTTCTCTTTTCAATCCTTTATAATATCATCATAAACATTATTATTGCTGTTATTTCGCTTATAATCTGATCGTTAAATAGGGGATGCAGATTTTATATCCTCGCTATTTCTTGTGTTTTAGAAGTCGATCGTCGCGCAACATGATGAAACAACTCGGCAGCCTGTTGGTTCAAAAAGAGAAGGAAAAACGTATCGATGTAATGAACAACAGTCAACCACTTGCTAACCTCAGGTAAGCAAACAAAAAAATATCCCAAAAAATGAGACACAACGAGAAATTCCTACGTAAGTGGTTGTTCTAAAATCGCATATTAGACACATCGCGTTTGGAGGATACAGTTCCTGATTAAAGACACCAGTCTAAACGAAATGTGTAGAGTTCGAACAGCTATAACCAAGTTAAGATACGGAAAACATTTAGTGACGAGGGTACAAATGAACTTGTATAAAAGGAACTCCAAAATTCGAGTTTTTATTCCACATAAACTTAGACCCTACATGTTTAATTAAAAATTGAAATTATAACTGACGACGCGTCTGTTTGTTTAATATACTATGTGACAGTAGAACGGAGTCGCTTATTTACGATGTGTCGCTTGCAAGGGTTAATACATATGTTTTAAACTTTAAAGATACTCTGTGTTTGGCCTGGGCTCCAGGGCCTACCCAAACTTCTGTGCATTTGCTCGCTCGCTTGACAAGATCATTCGGGAACTTGGAGGAGAGCCCGTGTTGAAGATGGGAGAAGGGGATGAGTTATGTGGTCAAGAGGAGTCTTTCAAAATGTGGGCCAAAGACGTATTTAAGGTAAAGAACAACATGTTCGGAGAAGCTTACTAACATTATAGGTTTGCAAGCTCGTTTAACCGTTAACTGTTAGACTCACCCTGAAAGCTGCCTTATTCTCTTCAGAACGAGTGAAAATATATTGGAACTGATCGAAGTAATAAATACTAGAGGACTGAAATACGGACATTTTTGAGATATGAACGGTAGCTGGAAGTTGAGTGTTGTTCCCCTTACAGCTGTCTGAGGCTTTCCAATTGAATGCCGATAGTCAAAACGAACCAAAAGCAGTTGCAATCATTTCCCAATCAATTTATCTTCCCCTATGTCAAATCCCAAGACCTATTGAATTTATTTGTCTTTGAATCCTCAGGCCGCCTGTGACTCATTCTGTATCAGTGACGAAATAACAAATGAGGCCAGTCAGTCTCTAGATACAGTACCGAGCGGCTGGGTACCAGGCCGCTTTCGGCTTGCTACAATTATGATCACCGCCGTGCATGCTTTTACTGAAGCAACTGATGGACCGGACGGACACAGTGAAATTGTCCGAGGTTAGAAATGTGTTCAGAGACATTTTGAATTTATTAATTAGCTAGTTTAACCTCTCACCGTTAAGCCGGGCGAAGTAAACTTCAGAAACAATGTAATTTGTCACCACCATTAGACAATTGTGACACTGAACTCGTTTTAAAAAATAAATGAAAATTACGAGGTTCTTGAAAGTGACACTTCTCCCTTAATTAACAGGTATTTGAAATGGCGCGGATTCTTATTTAGCTATATAACCAAAATGGCACAAATACTTGCTAGGGACACGAGACTGCAATTGCGTACAGAGTAGATCAAATTACAAGTCTATTATATTTCATATTTGAATATTCTGTCATCTTTCTTGCCATCCAATTATTTATTTGATTCCTTCTTGTCTGTATAGGTTTGACTCATATTTGCGGTAAGACAGTGCGATCTGCGACGTTGTTATCAGTGAAGAACTTGCAGTCTCCTGAATCCAGGTCAGTGAATGAGTAAAGATGTCTTTTCTTTATTGACGCTCTACCTTTTTGACTTGCAAGAACCGCCTTTTTGCGTCGTGAAAAGTCAAACAATATGAGTAATAAAACCTGAACCTTACAATGATGGAGCTGTAAGGCCTTCCAAATTAGGTAGATAAATAGAGTAACATAAATTTTATTGAATTAGATGATAGCGAATCCACAGGTTGTGTGAAAGTCGATGCATACGAAATATTCATTTACATACTGATTTCAATTATTTGCCATTGAGCGAAATGGGTCATATGGTAATGCTGCCCTTAAACGAAAAAAAGTTTTTCTCTATTAACCCCCTATTTGAGATTAACTTGAATCAGATAATTATATACTTACTCGTTTTCCGTTTGACCGGCTCGACGACGATAGCCTCTGCCTTTGCAATCTCTAAGGAAAGGAGCAACTTGCAGTGAAACTGCCCGATGAATTCTCGGCGAAAAATAATCGTGCCTCGTGTTACAGCTGACTCTTTCGTCAAAAGTCAGCTTTTGGTTTGCTAAGGGAATTACTGCACAGCAACGAAACTCGAGAGCACTAAGCAAGGGGAACCTTCGTCAGTGCGAGGGAATAAAATGTTATGGCAACAGAAACAATCACAGCTACCCATTCTTGACATAGATTTCGTCATGGAAAACAAATTGGCCACCGTAAAGAGTTTAAAGGCTGACGTTTCGGGCGGTAACCCTTCGTCAGAGCGATTGAGAGGTTTCTCAGTTTCCCTACGTCATCACCCGCTAATTCGTTACCAGTCCACGGGACACTTTTAAAATAAAATAAGAGCACTTTATGACCCGAAAAAAACGACTTTTAAGTTTTTTTAAATATATCTTCTATCGTAATCGGTTTTTACATATGATAAGCTAAGTATTTACGACATTTGCTCTTAGAAAATGTTTTAATGGGTCAAATTTGTCAAAACTTAGCAACAGGTAACGATTCCGTGACTTCAATTTGACCACGTAGCGCTTCACATTTACGTTTCACATTTGCACTTTACATTTACGTCGTTTCTGTGTCAAACTTTTTAAAATAAGCAACAGGTAACGATTCCGTGATTTCAATTTGATCACCCAGGGCTTCACATTTACGTCGTTTCTGTTGACTCCACGTATACCAACCACTTATGACCTCATTCAATTAAATATAAATTGAATGCATTTAACTTAAAACACTCAACCTTTCCAACTCGTACCAATTGTCTAGTTGCCTCCTAAAAATTCAAAGAACATGAGCCGAAAAACCCAAACTCAAACGATGATGGAGTTATGTGAGGCTTTCCGAAATAGGAATCATTGCTGTTCTCCAGGAGATACCGGTCTGAAGCAGCCCGAAGGGGTTACAACACAGACTTCGTTCAGCAAAATTCAAGAAACATCGGACATTTTCTGTTACCGTGACACTTCGCTCCTCACGAATGAAGAGACACCAACGATTTCTTGTACTGCGCTGTCGACGAAGTGCGAAGAAGCGCCAGTAACAGCGAATTCCTCGTCTCAGAGTGTAACGGGGGAGCAGAAGGAGGCCTATTGTTGTGCATCCAAAGCTCCCAAGAAGAATACACTTTGTTTGCCTGCAATCAATGAACGGCGAATAAGAGAGCTTAGTTGTAGTTTGGTTCAAGATCAGTTTCCTTTCAGAGAGAAACAGGTTGAGGTCCATTGCTGCAAAATAACACAGAGTTTAGTCAAACATCCTGAAGGTCAACAAAAAGAGAGGCGGAGAGGAGTAGCGGTAGCCAAACCGGTGTTAACGTCACGTAAGAATGATATTGTCCAAAGTTCAAGAAAAAGATCACCAGCAGTCCAAACTGAAGGAGAGATCCTCAGGCCGAGCTTAGTTCGTCGAACGCGAGTGACAGTTATGGTGTCCAAGCGTCAAGGGGACGAGCCGGCCATGGAACGATCCACAAAAATTTCACACAGGAAGAACACGATTGGTGGATGCCATGAACCTCGGTCAGTTTCTGAAAAACCTGGAAAAATAAAGAACAAGCAGAGCGTTAAGCGAAATCAGATCACCAAACGTCAGCAGAAGGTGACTGGTGACCAAATGCAACCCATAGATAGAAGAGTTGCGCCTGTGGTTCAAGTGGTGCATCTGCGCAGAGTTGCGCGTCAGAATGTGACTGGTGATGTGCAGGTCACCGATAGAAGGGATGGACTCTGCGCCCAAACAAGCCCTGATCAACAACAGCTGATGTTTATGCGTGTTCTGCGGAAACGATTCTAAAATGTCATAAGGGATTAAAAAAAACAAACAAACAAAGGAAAAAAAAAGCAACAACAACAACACTGCCAACGAAAATGTTTGCGTTATCAAACAAGGCCTGCATAAGTAGTTTGCAATAATGTTTATATTGTATCAGAGCAATTTCAATCGACGGTCCATCGTACTCTGGAACAAGTTTGATATTACTTAGCTAAGCTCTATGATTTTTCCGAAAACTCATGCCATACCCTCATGAATTCAAACTTTCGATCATTTTCCCGCCCGTCAGACTTTTGATTGGTTAAAACTGGTGTTTGCCGTCGTTCTGATTGGCTGTTGTGGTTATTAGGTTTTTTATTTACGACATTCGATCTATATGCACTTTAAAGAGGTAGTTTTCGGCCCAAAATGGTCGTGAACAGGCTTGTAATAGAGGGTGTCATTGGGATCTATGCTTTGTTCAGTTACAGTCTGATGAAGAATTTCACGTCGAATATCTTCATAATAAGTGCATGTTGCTCGATTTCTTTAGTTTAATTATCTAGTGCGAGTGCTCCTCGATGATGTATCATAAGATGTGAGGGGTGTATAAACGATAAGCTCTGTAAATAGTATTTGCACAAGAATAAAGTTGATTCTACCAGAGTTCGAAGCTCTCGATAAGTGGCTGCCAATGAGTAAGGGTGGGCTGACAACATCAACAACAACAAAGAAAAAAAAAGAAAAAAGAAGCTTGCGAATCATGATCTCCCTCGTAAGCATGACTATCTGAAAGCAACTAGCTAATCTCTTGGAAAAGGACATGGACAGTCATGACATTTGAAAAAATGCTTAAAAGTGCAATATCATAGAATTCCTTGAAACCTACTGAAAGGATTTCAGTGTTGTTCCTTTTAAAGTTAACTCCCACGTTCTCATTAGTAGTTCTTCTTACTGATTGCCAAACGATTCTTATTATGTTAGTCTGGAGAAATTGGTATCGGATCAATTAGTAATATCATAATTGATATTTTTCTTTATTCTCATCACTTGTCTGCATGATATCGTATAAATATAGTCGGGAGAAATTATGTCTTTGTCAGTCACGGGAGTTAAAGGGTTAAAATATTATAAAGGTGCCTAAAGATTGCCGTTGTCAGTTTTCTTTGAGAGCGACAAACACAGGAAGAAGGCATTTCTTGAATAAAGGCTGAAAATCAGACAAATTATAACTTAAACGCTATTTTTTTCTTTTAGTCGCTCGACCATCTCAGTCCGGCTCAAAACAGAGAACAGCACAGAACTGCAGTACAAACCAGGTGATCATGTGGCCATCTTTCCCGCGAATCGCCCAGAGCTGGTGCAAGCTTTGATTGACAGGCTATCAGATGACGTCGATCCCGATAAACCAATCGTTGTCGAGGCCTCACGAGAAGTCAAAGGTGAACTTTAGTTCAGTTAAAAAAAAAAAAAATTGTGAGATATTTTCAGTGACCAGTCAGCACGTCGTCTATACTTAACCGAAAACCTTCCAACAGCATTTCGTCCAGTTTCCTTGACAGCATGCCGGCCCCCATTCATGCTCCGGGGTGGAAAAGGCTCTGAAGGAATTTAGTATCCTGCTTAGAACACACCACCAATTACCAAAGAGGGGTGGGGTCAAACGTCAGGTGAGAGAAGGTAATAATTTTACTGCTATTCTTTACTTAGGTATTCTAAAAACAGCCAAGAAATGGGAAACTTACAACCGTCTTCCGTCACAAACCACGCTGCGTCAAGCTCTCTCACGTTACCTGGACGTCACAAGTGTTCCTTCACCGCAGATCCTGAAAGCTTTGTCTGCTACGGTAAAGTCTCAACGGTTGAACCAATTATTGTGATTTACAATTCCGCTACAGTTCATTTTAAGTCTAACAGATTCCTCTCTCTAATGCTAGTACCAGTGCTTTTTACTGTAGTTCCAGTTTATTTTATTTCGAGCCCTGAATATCACGAACTTTCCTGTACCTCGGCGGCGTACCCAGGTTGGGACGAGTAACAGTGTATCACTGTCAATTTCGTTTGGTTATCTGTAAGATCCCGTACCCCAGGATGCGATAACGAAAGCCTACTTTCGTAGTTTTCGTTTATCGGCAACATCTCATTTCCACTTATTTGTTTGTCTATATTTTCGACCTACTGAACTAAGACATTACCATTTTAATATCCATTTAAAAATTTCCACACTTCTTTTTAGGCTACTGACCCGGCAGAAAAGGAAAAACTTGAGATTCTTAGCCAGGTGAGGTCTTCCGTCTGTTCCTCGTTATATATGTAAAAGCCCTTCTAAGTTCTGAACTTGAGTCTTCCTTCATAAATGCTTTTAATTTAACTCTTTCGTTTTCTTTTGTCTATTTCTTTTTCTCTCAGGGTAATAACCGATACGAGGACTGGAAGTTTGGAAGTGAATGTAACATTCTTGATGTGCTACAAGAGCATCCTTCCTTACAAGTTCCAGCTGACTTATTACTCACCCAGCTGCCTTTGTTGCAGCCGGTAAGTCGCACTGCTTGATAGACCTGAAAGAAGTTACAATCACCTAATTGTTTACGGTGAAACCCGCTAAAACAATCCCGTTTGATGACGTTAATAAGTAAAGGTCCCCCTAGGGTAGGAGAATTTATTGAAGGAAGTAAACATGCGCATCATATAAACTGGGTGTGGGCAGTACTTCCGAAAAAGAAAAAAAGGGCGGCATCCTAATGGCATTGAGAGGCCTGCATAAATTAACACTTTTTCTTGACGAAGAGAGGGGCGAACGGTGGGAGGGGGTCACATGCTCCTTTGGACTCCCACCCCTTCCTTTAGCTCCGCCTTGGTAGATCGACAGGAGCTGAAGCTGTCTTTGTGAGAGTCAAACGAGCCTTCTTCGTTATCAGCCATAAGTCATGGTCACTGTTTAAGCCCTTAATCCAAAAGGGCGACTAGCGTCTAATCTATCCTCACAGTATCACGGCTGAATCAAACATTAAGGTCATGAGAGTATAGGAAATGATCACCAACTGAAGGCGCTTTTAATTGTTACGCAAGTTCTCATTGTTGGGGACCATAGAAATTGTGACGAGAACGGTTTGGAGAAAATTCATCCTGATGTTAAGGAGTGAAGTGTTATGTTAGAGTTTTAAAACCCGTCTCAAATTTATGGGACTGAGATAGAATGTAAAGTTTGTTTTTGCTACACGTGAAACTCCTTAACGCGTTACCAGCCCACTCTAAGAGCAAAGATCTCAAAAAGAATTTTTGAAAGTCCCGCGTGTGTACCTCACTCAAATTTATGACAAAGCTGATTAGAGACTTTCTGAATCTCCTTTCATAAATTACTACGATCTTTGTTAAAATTATTTCTTTGTTATCAACAGCGTTTCTACTCCATCTCATCATCGCCAGACTTTTTCCCAGGTGAAGTTCACCTCACAGTGGCAGTGGTACAATATAACAAGAGAGGTGAGGTAGTTGATTCTGCAGTAAGAAGAAATATAAGTGAGTAAGAAATATGAGGAACTGTGTTTAATTGAAAATTCTCCCTTGACAATAGAGGGCAACAAATTAGAATAGTGCTTTTTGTGTGCGCTTCAGAAGTGATCAGCAATCATAGAACAATATGGTGATGAAAGTAGACTGAAAGTTATCAGCGAGATGGTGTTCTCTCGATATGACACCAACTATTTGACAATAAAATGTATAGCAGGTAAAATGGAGAAATTTAATATGATTTATATCTTATGAAGTTACGGATTAATTGTGGTATTCTTCGGAGCTGTGTACAACCTGATATATTTAACGAGTTTTTTTTCATGGATTGTCTTGGTAACTCTATGTACTCTGCTGCGTTACGTCTCAGGTGGAAAAGGTCCCGTACATCATGGCGTTTGCTCCACGTGGTTAAATAGTTTGCAACCTGGAGACAAAGTGGCCTGTTACGTGCGGCAGTAAGTCCATGTCTCAACTTCTTTTGCGTTTTGAAACTCAGTTAGTATAAAAACGTTGGTATGTACTGAGTATGAGTGGAGATGAATGATTTTAAAACTCAGAAATTCACCTCAGGGCAGTACACACCTTTAAAGTCACAAGATACCATGTCCAATGTGCATCATTTAAGTGTTTATATGTTCACCATTTCTCCGCCTTTTTTTCCTCTTAAATTCCGAAAAAAAAGGAAACTCTCTGTTTATCTTAGATTAGCAAACATATGAGAGGCAAGATCACCTTTGACCAGGCTACCTATTTCCTTTTTTATAGAGCCCAGACCTTTCATTTGCCCGAAGATGGCACGGTCCCAGTGATAATGGTGGGGCCTGGGACTGGTATAGCTCCTTTCAGAAGCTTTTGGCAACAGCGCCAATTTGACATTGTGAACACAAGTGCTCCTAAGCCAAGGACGTTGGACCTTACACCAGACTCAAGCCCTTTAATACAGCGTCGAAACTTTGCTTTCACCCGTGGGGACTCTCCTGAAACAACTCCTCCTACGCCACATCGTTCCTTCGGGGGTAGCTCTTCTTTGCAGCGTCAACTCTTCTCAGAAAAAGAACAGGACGAGAATGCTTCACAACCTTCGTCGGGAAAGTGGGGCGAAATGTTGTTGTTTTTCGGATGTAGAAACTCTACTCAAGATTATATATACAAGGATGAAATGGCGAAAGCGAAAAGCGATGGCGCCTTGACTGAAATATGGACAGCTCTCTCACGTGAACCAGGACAGCCAAAAGTAAGGAAAATTTTTATTAACGTAACTTATCCTTTAACTCCTCAATAAATGCGAACATAACAAAGTACCTTCATGTTAGCCTTGCTGTCTTTCCAATTTTACCAGAGGAGAAAATGATAGAACAGCTACTGTTTCTTTCCACTCAGTGGTACATACACTTGCCACTTTACTGTTGATAAAAAACGTAAAGTTCGCGAGCTTAAGTACTTTTATATCCACACGTGCACCCAGTGAACGCTTTTCGTATTCCCAACGTAACTGAATATGAACTATTTTATCTTAGATAGCGAATCTCATCTCGTATATATTTCAGAAATATGTTCAGGATATGTTGAAAATGGAGGCGTTTGACATTTGTGACAAGCTGCTGAGTCAGAGGGGACACTTCTACGTGTGCGGCGATGTGTCAATGGCAGAGGATGTTTGCAGAACATTGCAGGTGATACCTCTTTGTTTAAGTATAGTGAAATTTTCTTACACTGCGCGCGTAGTCGAAGCGCCAGCAAATATGACCGTCCCCACCAGTACTGAAGGCAGATTTTTCTTGATGAAAATTTCAGGACCCAGCAAAAGCGTGGTTTACCAATGAAGCAGTTGGTTTGCTTATTTTACATTCCATTATTGTAACAAAAAAATCGATGTACTATGACGACGGTTAGATTCTGTGACGTGGTGAATGTAAATTTACGCGCTAATTCTATCTTTTGACTCCATTCTCCCGCTCTTATTCGCGGCTAATCTAACTTTTGTCTGCGGAAGGAAGGCCCAGTAACCTTAACAGTTTTCTGGACACAATTAAAACATCTCCGAAGTTATCAAGGGAGGATTTAAGCTTCCAAAAATAGATATATGACATGGGTGAGATAATCAGATAACTTGTTTTTGCGTTTTGTTTAAACTTCCTCAGACCCTCCTACAAGAGTACGCTGCCATGTCTCAGCAAGAGGCTCAGGACACAGTAAACAAAATGAAGGTAACTTGGACGTGTCATATTATTTGGGTGCTCATAATGACTGAGGGATAACTTGCAATTTAGGAAAGTTCACGCCTGAAAAATAATCCAGGACTGAGATTCGTACCCCAAGAGTTTGGTGTTGATTTTCTTTCAGTTTTGAGTGTTACGTACATCCTCATTTGATTCAGCCTTGAGATTGTTGTGGACGACATTTCTCGAACAGGAAAACGTGGTATTACCTTTTACATCCCTTTCAAAAAGAAAGCCTTCACCATTACATCAAGGAATTCGGTCGTTTTCATAATTTAGTATGACCAGTAGTCTACATTTCAGCAGATGTTTGGTCTTGTCACGAAAAAGTTTGCTCCTCTAGAGTGATTTGCGCGGTAAGACCAAACAACGGCAACAAAAGAGATAAGTTATTCACTAAACATCCGTTTGTTATATTCAAACACTCAGACGTAAAAGATTCTTGTAAATCTTTTTCAGAGTTCCGGCCGATATCATGAGGATATTTTTGGAGTAACTTTGAAAACGCGAGAAGTGACCGACCGCGTCCGAACCGCAGCTAAAAGGTTTGTTAGTAAATTATAGTTAAGCAAGTACGGTGGTTATGAAACCCAAAGGATTTAAATTGTCATAGGTTCTCGCCAGTTGTTGGGATCTCCCCAAGAACAATTTACAATAGTGTTTCTACTGACTTATTCGGCCGCTATGCAGAGTGAACAACGGAAACACAGTAAATGGTTTGAATACGTAAATACAATTGATTGCAGCGCCGGTGTTTCTATCGTTGAATGAACTATCCTCTACTTACATTTTCTCAATGTTTGATAATCAAACAAACGCCCCTTTTAACTTGAGATTTGTGCACTTTTGTCGTCTTTTGACAGATCGTGGATGTATCTAAAGACTTCTAGTAAAATGAGGGTGAGTAATCAATTGCAAAGAACTTCAACTCGTTGACCCCCAGAGTGACTTGCATCTAATTTCTCCTTACAATATCACACCTGAATCAAACATAAGGGTCATGAGAATAAACTAAATGATCACCAACTGAAGAAGCTCTTGATTGTCAGACAAATTCTGAAGATCTTCAGCGCTTTGAGGAGTGTATTATGTATGACTTCTGAACTGTCTTTTACATTAGATAAGTGAGCACAAATTGAAGCCACGCGCCCCTACTATTACCTTGCTCATGGACAGAGATGGAGCAGAAGGCACTGCAGTGTGAGTACATCAGTCGGTAAAACCGCAGACCATACACGTACGTACACTCATCCTTCCTGGTACATTATATACTTTGTTGTTTGTGTGTTGTTACCTCACGAACAAGAGGTTCTCTTCAGAATGGAAGTAACCATTGCAAGCACTGCTCCATGTTCTTTCGTGCATGCACCATACAACACTGGTCCACATCTTAGCTAAAACTCACGAAAAGCAGGGAAAAAATTAAAAATCGTCCTTGTCAAACTGAACCGCAACCAAAACTGGTAATAAAGTCGAAACCAGTTTTTCAAATTTTTTTCTAATTTCAAGCTGTGGCTCGGCCTCGTTAAAACGTTCCCATAACCTTACAACAGACCTTGTCCAGTATTTGTGTGAATTGTTTCCTATAAAAAGAGAATTGTGTACTTCTTTGGTAAACATAACATTTTCCTTTTTACCAATCAGTGATTAAATAGCGTCGGGTCAGCTGACATTTCTTTAAAATTGATAGCCTGTTTAAGTGTTCAATTAATAAAACGGAGCGAAATAGTAAACGGCGCGACAGTAGCGGCAGAGCCAAAACAGTGGAGGTTTGGTAACGTGACCCAACCCAGGCCTCCCTCGACTTTTTAAGTCCACCTCCGCTCCTGTTGCGCCGTTTACTATCGCTAACTAACTGAACGCCCGGAGGAGGCTTCTGTTTCAGATCTCTAATATAACAGGTGAGCTTGATGTCAGCCCCCTGCTGTATATACTACTTTTAAATCTTAATGATTTGATTTGGTTTACTCAATAAATTTTTCACACATTAATTCATTGTCCCAATTCTTTTTTTTTTTTACAGTCAAGACTCCACAAGAGAAAGAACTTATTCAAATCCAGTGCACTAGGATGAAAGTTAAGACGAGAAAAACTCATGCAACTATATAGAAGCAGCTTGTGCTTAAAACGCAACAATCAAAATGCATTTATGATCTAGAATATTGAAATGCCTCAACCCAATAATTTCCAACAACAATGTTATAAATTTATTAAGTTATGACAGTTAAAATTAAGATTATGCCAGTAAAGCGATATTATATTTGTTAGGAAAATTACCAGGAAAATAAAGAAATGAGTAGAATTGGCTTCGAGAACGGTAGAGCTTTATTATTAGGAACCTCAAGTAGCTAGAATTATAGAATTTATTTGCAATTATCAACGAAAGAAAAATACTCCAACAATATAGGAATAATTTTTTTCTCTTTATTGCATCTTGGTTAGAAATTACTACAGCTATTAAGTAATTTTGATGCTGAAACAGGACAGATGAAATTCCTTTTGTACAAGAACTCTCCCGGCTTTTGCTCAACCTCTTATCAGTCATAACACTGACAGCGAAATCCATCTGTCGGTTTGCAAAAACTCGATTGTGTCTTACTTTCTCCATTTCGTAGGCTTGCAATCCTTTTTCAGAGCATCATTCAATCCTACATAAAATGTTGAAATGTGCCCTAGAACAATAATATTTAAATCAACTCTATCCTATAACAGATTCAGACATGACATAGTAATTGAGCGATATGTATATACGTATATTGTATTGTGCAATTATATTATGCAATACTGCTTTGCACTTTTGATTCAATCGGATAACGAGCTGGCATTCCCTAGGAAAGAGCGCGCCTCGCTTCTCCGAGTTCACACGATGCCAGAATGTTTGGTTTTTGCGAAGGATTACTGAGGGAGAGAAGTCTGGATCGATCGTAGTCTATGGCTACATCGAAAACAGTGTCCATATATATTCACTTTCCTGATTGTTGATTATAAACGTTGATGTTGATGCGTTTTATTGATTAGCGAGATTGTTACATAAAATAATGGCAAGGATGTTAATTAAATTATGAAATGTACAGAGTTGTTTGGAGAGCAAACAGCTAAGACTCTTTCCCCCCCCCCCCCCTCATAACCTTCTCTACCTTTATTCCGTTTATAATTACCCCCCTACCCCTACGCTATTACTTTTCCACCTTCTCCTCCTTTAAAACTTTAAAATTGATCGATAGTCCCAGTCCCTCTTCTGTTCCTAAGCGAGGCCTCAGCAGTTAGGACAAACCCCAACATGTCGGGTAGTGTTTTTTTCATCTCACGCTTATTATTGAAATTTGGAGACGGTGGAATACTGGCGAAATTTGAAGTTTATGGGGATGTCATGGAGTCGTAGGGAGACGGCGCAAAGTTGAAAATGGACAGGCGATCTCAAGTAAATAATTCATTCTCATCAATGTGTAGCTTACATATTTCTGAACTGAGTTCACTTAGCCACTACCCTTGAACCCATTTCAATTACATCCGACCAACACATCGCTAAGTCAGAGGTTTGATTCCTTATGGCTGGATGCCGATTTTTTTCCACAAACCACACCTGAGGCAGATGCATAACATCTTTTGTTCTTACACATAATTTTCTTTTGAACCGATCGAACTCTTCAGATCCTAACTTAAGCAGGTCGCAAACCATAGTTAGAGGGGTTACGCACAGGACACTATGGCATAACTGATCTTATCAGTCACTCACCGCGGCAGCACGCAGGCAGGAGGTGCCTGTCAAATATATATCTTATACTTGATTCAAACTACCTTCGCATTTTTCGTGGCTCATGCAGTCGGTATAGTAACGTATCGCATATCCGGTGGCGGTTTCGGTTCTAATTATCCACGCACATCTCGAATTTCTTTTTTCTTTTCTTTTCCGTTTAGAAATTTGCGCGTAGATGTGCATTTATCAAAACGTGTTCAAACCTTTTCATTCCGCTCGTAGGTTTTTTCCTTCAAAGCCGGTTTTCATCACAACAATGCTCTGACAGTTTAGTTTTTTTCTCAAGCAACATTGAAGAAAAATAACCTTTTTTCATTAAATTTTGTCTTCTAAATAACAACTGCTATCATTAACCCGTGTAATGACAGTCATTCTTTATCTTAGGGGGTAAGTTAACATGACAAAACACTCCTAAAATAGGTAAAAAAAATTGTACAGCAGAGACACATTCTTGTTTGAAATATGTGACGTATCGAAAAGCAATTGGCCCAAATTCTATTCCATATTCATGAAGATTCACAAGCGTGGTTACCGTAATTTGTCAGTTAAACGAGCTTGTGTACAGTAACAGTGTTTCTCTCCGTTTTGCTCGAGATATAATTTCTTACTTCGAAAGCTTTTGGAGTGGAGAGCCTTTGTGAAGTTTACATTATGGTGAGTACCAATTCTTGATGTTTTTACGACCGTCAAAACGTAAAACACTTGGGAGAAGTTTGTTTGAGATGTTAACACGTGCACTTGCTGAATCAGTTCACGTGTCGCGTCGAGAAGGTTTGACTCTTTGTGGAGTTTGTAGCAGACGCTAAAAAATAGGCATAACACAGCCGGTGAAGTCAATAGAAGTACTATTAAATTGAATGTGAGGTCTAATTTGTTACTCAGCGTCACTGTATTGCACGCCTAGACAAAGTGTGATAAATTTTGTTTCAAAAATAAATTACAAAATGTCGAAGCTAAAAGCTTAGCACACAGCTCTACAAAAATTTATCCATTTACGTTTACGTTAGCTTTCTTTCTTACGCATTTCATTCTATCGACTTCAGGGTGAGAAATCTTGGATGATGAAGACGACACTAGAAGTAAAGAGAAGAACGAGAGCAGGAATGAAGAGTGAAGTTAGCTTTTCAGAAGATCATGCGTGGGGGCATGCACTGGTCTCGCTTCAAAGATAAGGAAATCAATTGTTAACATATTTTTGAAGAAACCATTCCTACAAAATATTGCATATGGCACTGCACAGAAGCTGTAATTAAACACAATTCAAAATAATTTGTATCGACGACTCCACTTTCATTTAAAACTCATCTAGAACAGAAAAAAAATGACAAATCATAGAAACATTTTTGGTTGTAAAAATGAGGTTTTATTGATATTTTTGTCGGAAAGGTTTCTAGAAATAATTAAGGTGGCACTGCATGTTTAGATGTAATTGAGCACGATTCAGATAAGGCATGGACAGAGGGACGCTCTTCGATGAGGAACAGCTACTTCAAGATTATCAACATGACGAGATACAACCAAATTCAGCACATTGCAAGCAACTACAAGACTGCCTTGATTCGGGAAAAAAAAAAAAAGCCTAGAACGTGTCAACGAATACGCTGAACAATCAATATGCAGAGCTACCTTAAAGCTAGATGATATTAAGAGATTGAGGGTTTCTGAAATTGTCTCTTACGCTGAGAACTTCGAACCGACGAAAGTATGTATGGCGTTACTTCAAATATTTCCTCAGCAGCCTTCAGTCTCTTGTCAGGTCTTGTCATGTAGAGTGATGTTCTTTGCAATCATGTCTGGCACATTAAATATGGATATAACTTGACTGCAGCTTATTATACAAATGGCCTTGAAATTTTCAAGATCAATCTCCGGGAAAAAAAATAGATGGCACTGAACTTTAACAATGTTGCCGCATGTGACAGAAATTGTTCTTTTCCCAGTCTATCTTAATTTGATTGTCTGATCACATTTTCCAGTGCTTTTCACCAACAGAAATTTCGATAAAATTATAGTCGTGAAATTTTCATTAATTCTATGGAGATTTGTTTCCAGTCAACAACATTGAAATTCTTTTCCCTTAAATAGACTACCATTTGATTGTCATAGTGCTTGAACAGAGCTTTCCTCTGGCGAAAATTACACTTAATTCGCGTCATAAACTCCTTAAAGCTTGCCTTGTAAAACGTGAAATACTTTGCCAGACACGAGTTTTAGAATATCACTTTATTTGATATAGAGCGTTTTCACTCACGTGACATGCAGCCATACTGTTTTTGAAATAAAAGATGATATTTGTATAAAAATAGAGTTCAATTCCCAGAGGATTAGTTTGGAAAACCAACATGGCCATTGTTTCTTTGTCTCGGAACACCACGCAGTCTGCTGTGACGTCACGTGAAAACGCTGCTGACCGTTTCCAACAAAATGACAATTGCAGAAATTTAAAAGAAAGCGCAAAAACATGAAAAGATGGTGGTTTCCAAAGAATGAGGAAAAAATGATGGCACGAAAAATACTAAACAAATGTCTTTTAGATGTACTGAAATTTTATTCAAACAACGAAAATGAATAATTATATAATATTTGGTGATCAAAAGTCTTTAGAGGAAAATAATGAGTTCAAATATCAAAATAATAATTCTTCAAAAGAACCTGGAATTGTTGCTAATCCATCGAAACTCTAGAGACATTGAAGATTTTATGATGTCGCCCGAAAAAAGACCCTCAGGGGGTAAAGACATCGTTTGGAAGAACAGCAAATAAAAAAGTCAACCCTTTATCCTATTTTCCATAGGATAAAGAGACGAATTGAAAACACGAAAAATAGAAATTAAATTTGTTTTTGATTATTGGAATTTTATCAAGATGTCAAACATGAATGATTTCATGATTTTGCCGAACATTTCTCAGTAAATTGCTTGTTACCATTCAGTTCACTTCTGCGTCCTTTTTTGGCGTGCAACTTGTCCTCGATAGCATTGGAAACGGTTGTTTATCTTATGGCTCAGTATATGTTACATAGAAAGGCCTTTTCCGGCTTTCGATTGCCGCATCAATGAAATCAAAGTTATTTTGATGTTTGACCATCTAATTTTTTATTTTATCTGTGAAAAAATAAAACTTCAAGCAAATGAAATCTTGTAAGGATTCAAAGATAGTTTGAGTCAAGCAATTATCTTAGCCTTTGGTATCAAAAAGGAAAAAAAAACTTAGTCAGACTTTGATAGGAAAATTTAGTTTCGTTACAATTGTTATCAGTTTGGCATTAAATTCCTTCTGTGCATTAAAATTTTGTGAACAGAGAAATCGAAAGCTGGAAAAGGTCTTGTTAAATGCAACGTGGCAAAGTTAGCGTAACCTTACTTTAGTTTTAGTATAGAAATATAGCTTGCCAAGTTGTTCAAGTTGCGTACATGTACCTTGTGCAAAAACTTCAAAGATCCAATTTCAACCCTCCCTGGGAGAATCGTTTAAAATTTAACTTTATTTCAAGAAGTAAACCAAATTTTGTACAATTAAATCAGAGCAGAAAGCCGTTCAAAATTTGTTTTGGAAATCTTTTTGCACAAGATACTGTTCATAGATATTTGGCGAAAAATTTTAAGGGAAGCTATTTGGAATAATTTGTGAGAAATGTTATAGGGAGAAACTCTGTGCAAATTCTCTCAAATTTTCCCGCCAAAAGTCTTATATACTTTAACGAATTCTTCTTGACCCTTTTGATAATTTAAAGGGAATTCACTTAACTAGTTATAGAATATATAAAGAGAATAAAGAATGTTTGACTTGTAGGAAAATAAAGATCACAATATAGAGCGAACAACATTGCAGTGTTTATTGACTTTTATTCAGTATATAGATGAATAAATAGACTTCAGACAACTTGAAGATAAACTTTACTTTATTATATAGTAAGGGAAAAGACTTGAAAAAAAACGGCGCATGCGTATTTTGGGCGCCCGTATTTTTCTAAGTTTTTTGGCGGGAAAATTGCAACGATTTAAATGGATGATACCAGCAGGGTTTTAAAAGAAAAAAAAGACGCATGCGTATTTAAAGCGCCCGTATTTTTCTAAGTTTTTTGGCGGGAAAAATAATGTTTGATTAGGCGCTACAAAGGACAAACGTAAGCAGAAGTTTTTGGTTTTGAAATAAGCTCAACTTGACAAAGTGACTTAACTAAATGAAGAAAATCTGAAATTTTAGCGTCGACTATCAAAATGAAATCTTATCAATTTCTTTACTGCGAGTACTGTTCTGTTCTCTTCCAGATTGTTACCGTTCGCAGGTACCTTGGAAAATTAACCTAGAAAATC